AAAACATGGCATGCACCTGAAAACATTCATCTCTGATGAAACGTTAAATTTCACTTGCATTTCATAACAATCCTTCGAAAACAAAAGTTATTCACTTGTGAAACACAGCATGACCAGATTGCACTGCCGTACCCTGATCATTTGCTACTAAGCAATGTATTCTTGTTTGTTTTTATTTGAAAAAATTTTCAGACTATATGTTTCGTTACCAACAAAATTAAAACCAATGTTTTTTAATTTTTTGTCCTTTAAAAATACCGACATTTTTTTTTATTGACTGTATTCTTTCAGCGTTTCATGATGCCTATTTTAGAACCAAATTATGGCCTTTTACTCTCACACACCTAAATTAGAGATTTTACGGTACTACATATTTTGCTCAGAGCAAACTCCTCCATTGGAGATGAGATTTTGATAGGACTTTTTCAATCTAAAACTAGTCTATTGATTGCATTTACCAGTCAGATGGTGTTGGCAGGGTCACCTATTGACTTACACAGACATGTATGTCAACTTGCACTGATATGGTAGTAAGATTTGCTATTTTTTCTGACTTGTTATGGCAGGATAAAGTAATTCAGACACAATGTAAAGAAATAAATCATTCAGACGAAATTAAAACTTTGTGGTGTAGGAACCCTGCCTTAACATGGAACATTCAGTTTTATTACCTTGCCCGTAACATCAAAGATAGATAGGAAGGTATATTAAGGGAAAGATTTTTGTACGTCGTTGTCGTTGTTAATAATTGTTATTGTGTGCACAATAACTTTACTAATTCTATTCCAAACTTTATCAAACTTGGTCACCATATTCATCAATATAAAGTCTTCCCCGAGTATGAACAACAGTTGTCGTCTATGAAAATATCATGCAAAAATTGAGAAAATCTGATAAAATATTTTGACTGTTTCTACTTGTTTCATAATGTATTGCTACATGTACTTTTGTAATTGGAAGTCCAGCTCTTTAAAGGCCCACATTTATGTTTGGTGGGATGGGTTGAGCTTAGCATTCTAATTTGACTGATTATTCAACAACAGCAACTGTCAATCATTTAATGTACGCAGATAGTCAACGTCTGCGCTTATCTCTTTGTGTGTATAGTGAAATAAACAGTTCTGGTGATGAGGCAGCTTGTTGGAATCCTAATTCAAGTCAGGTATTCGAGTTTGAAATAAAACAGTTGAACCTAAATAACATTTACATGCGTGCATCAGCGTTTTTTTTTTATTTCATTCATTGAATTTGGCGACACAGAAATAATCTTTGTTTATATATAAGTGAAATTTCACAGTGACAACTGCAATATTCCCCTGCTACCGGACAACCCAGTTTATTTAGTCCATGGCACAACTTAGGAAAATCCGTTGTAACCAGGGACATGCATTTTGATAAAATTCATCTCCCTATCTACCAAATTTCTAGTTGGATTTTCTCAACTTACGTCGGGTAAGCTGCAATAATAAGTGTTTTTGTCTAGAATATGCTTCAGTGCCAAGAATACATACAGAATTTGATGGAGGAGACATTCACAGCAATCAATTCAGAACATTATGAGAACTGTGAAACTGCTTTGCTAGAGGATTCGTCAGTTACAAAGGACGGCATAATTATGATGACTGATGCGAATTACTCATTTCGTATACGCAATAGAAATTGTCCATGAATGTCATGCTGTGGTGCTTCATGCCACATTAGATCATCCTCGCTACGAGCCGAAAAAAACGACTTATTATCAACCAGCATTGCGGCAGCGAATCTTTCGCTCATTTATTCAGAATTCTGTTATTTAGAAAAACACTGAATACTACGTCCACGCCCCTAGATTCCAGTCATGTGGAAAGCTTCAACAATTCGTAGAATGTTTTTCATGATATACCCAATACATTTCATTCCATGCGATTCTACATTGGAATGAGAATGTTGATCGACCAGACACCAGCCTGTGAACTTCTCCCACTGACAGCAGTAGACGTCGGTTTTCTAATAAGTCACATCAAGTGCATGTATCATAACTAAAGGCAAACATGATGGAATCAATACTATTTATCGTTGATAACTTGTTTTTAATTATCTTCCATGTTTTCAAACCAACATTTTACATTTTGTTTAGTTTTGACAATGTCATGCCCCCCCCCCCCCATGTTGCAAAGAAGCAGATCTTTTTGTGGAGCTTTCAGGTACCATTGTTTCTGTGGGCAAGGTTGTCTACATTTGAATAATAGACTCCACCTGTTTACATACCATGTCGGTCTCTAACAATAAACATAACACAATATGTGACATCCTTTTCCCATCTTGTGATGTGTTATAATTATCACTCAAATCATTAAAATTTACTGTTTATGTTTATTTTATTGCAGTTGGTGAGCCATGAGTTGAAGCCAAACCTTGTCACAGGAAACAACAATGTACACACCTTGTTCTCCTACCTATGTCCAGCATCTATGTAAATGTATGATTGCAACGTAGCATGAATACATGACAATTGATAACTAAACCAAAATGGCCAAAAAGACTGATAAATCTTTCAACATAGCTGTGGTCGGCCTCTCTGGTACTGATAAAGATAAAGGCGCTTTGGGAGTTGGGAAATCCTGTCTCTGTAATCGCTTTGTGAGTCCGCATGCCGATAGCTATGCTACCAACCACATCTCAATTCTTAGTCAGACTGATTTCAGTGGACGAGTAGTGAATAATGACCATTTTCTTTATTGGGGAGAAGTCTACAGACAGTGGGACGATGATGAGCTCACATTCCATATCATAGAACAAACAGAGTTTATTGATGATACATCTTTCCAGCCCCTGAGAGGAACCAACACTGCAGTTTACCATAGGCGATGTACTGGAATAAGGCTTCATTCTGCAGAAAAACTCATGTATATTTGTAAAGATCAGTTAGGTAAGTTAATGAGGCAGTGTCATCATACCTGTATCATCATACCTGTATCAACTATATACTGTATACAACTATATCAAGATCATTAGTAGAATAGAAGAATAAGAACCTGTAGTTTTAATGATGATAATAGTTCTAAGTTACACTCTGATGATTCCTGTAGAGGGTTCTCAGGATTATAATCTGTTATAGGAAATGTTTTGGTCTGACTGCTGGTGATTGTGTTTTGGTCTGACTGTTGGTGATTGTGTTTTGGTCCGGCTACTGGTGATTGTGTTTTGGTCCGGCTACTGGTGATTGTGTTTTGGTCTGGCTACTGGTGATTGTGTTTTGGTCTGACTGTTGGTGATTAGTCCCCGTACAGACACAGTTCGAAAACGGGGACTTATGTTTTGACCTCCATGTGTCTTTACATGCACGTCAATTTGTTTCACGATCTGACTCAAGATGGCTGAATGGCGGCCATTTTTGTGCTAAAAATCATCAAAATCAAGCATTTCTCGGCTGTTTACAGATGGATTTTGTTCAAACTTGGTATATACATTAGACATTATGGGACCTTGATGCAAATAATTTTGTTTTTCAGATAAGATTCAAAATGGCCAACTGGTGGCCATTTTGTTTTAATGAATGTGGTTCTTGTGCCACATCTCTGACTTGCTTTCACTGATTATGTTCAAATTTTAAATATTCATTATACATCATGTCATAGATAGACAGATATATTAGTTTGACGATCCTATTCAAAATGGCCAAATGGTGGTCATTTTTGTGTTAAAAAATCATCAAATATCAAGCATTTCTGGCATTTATGGATGGATTTCGTTCAAACTTGGTACATACATTAGACATTACAGGTTCCTGATGCACATCATTTATTTTTCAGATCGGATTCAAAATGGCAGTCTGGCGGCCATTTTGTTTTAATGAAAGGGCTTTTAGATCCATATCTCTTAAATGCTTTGACTGGGGTCTGTCACAAGTACATGTGCTTATCCATAACATAACATTATGTAGTGACATAATATTTTATGACATGATATTTTAGCTCTATATTGTAACTTATAGGGAAGGTAGTACATGTATATTTCTACCATTACTTACTGTACATGGATTGCTTGGAATTCTGAATAATAATAACCATGACCCAGCACTTCAATCTGTGATAAATGGAACAAAGGCTGTGCTCTCTCTCTGCCATAAGTGAATGCAGTAAATTAAGAAACTTTCCCAAAATTTACTGAAAATGATTCAGTAACAAAATGAAAATGAATGATGAAAAAAAAAATGTTTGTAATTTCTTGTTTTCTGTTATCATATCACTTTTACTATCACTTCAGATCAGAGAGCACCCAGCCCAGCTATGTAATCATTCAGTGTTCTGACTTTGCATTAACCATTCTCATCAATTTTTCAGCATTGGAACACGAGTACCCACAAAAGCAGCTTCCAGATGGAAAGATCAACATTGATGGATTTCTATGTGTCTTTGATGTTAGTAATGTCAGCAATCGTACACTGGATCAGCAAACAAAGTTTCTGGACTCTGTACTCAGCTCTATTAGCAAGACTAAAAAACCTGTTGTTATTGCCACTACAAAGTGTGATGAGGGTTTCGAAAATTACAGAAAAGAAGCAGAGAAGTATGCATCAAGCAAGAAAGTCCAGATTGTGGAGACGTCTGCACACGAAAACGTCAATGTTGACACGGCATTCCTGCTACTGGCCCAGAACATTGATAAAAAGATTCGTGTAAAGAATACGCCGTACAGTGAGGCATCAAAGCATCAGAAACAACTCATAGACTCAGTCACAGAGAAGTACAGTGCACTTTTAAAAAGTGCTGTTGAGGACTGCCACACACTGTGGAAAATTACGAAAGAGAAATTTGTAAATAACAGAGACTACTTGAGATACGTAGATGTGTTGGGTGAAAAATCTGCTCATACTATATTCCGAAAACACATAAGGTTGTTGAAAGACACTCATCAAACTAAAAAACTTGTACATTACTTAAACACATTACCTAAGGCATTTGAAGAACTTCTTCCAGATTTGGAAACTATAGATGGAAGGTAAGTTTCAGATCTCCCTAATAGCATGGTGGTTGTTGGATCTAGCGTGTGATCAAGTTCCTAATCCTATTTTGAGTTGATCACTCATTATGTCACAGACCCCAACACTTTTATGTTG